TAGTTTCCACCAGCCCATGCAGACTGCTAAGTAGGTCTCATTGTTTTCTCTTAGAAATGGTAAAATATCATCTAGTCACTTATGAGAAAAACTGTGATTAGAAAAAATGTTAGCGTTGTCCACTTTATGGTCATTCAAGAATGGTAAGTGTGAGCAGAGAACAACAGTTCCACAAATTGATTAGTTGGTAGTTTAACGTGGATGTCTGAAAAAATCACATATATGTAATTTCTTAGGATTCTTAAATTAGTAAATCTAGTTTACTGAACCAGTATTAGCATCACTATTTTAGATTGTAAAACTGCCTTAATTGGCTTACAGATTGTTACTTAAGAAGAATGGGATTCTACCTATAGTTCTGTTGTAGCACATTTAACAACAAACATGAAAAGATATATTAGCTTTCATAGAAACATGTTCGTTCTGTAAATAGGTTAATGGTATGGTAAGTCCCCTAAGATAACTGAATTAACATCGTTTATATTAACATTACTGCTGTTGATAAGGCCGTATGAATTTGTGGGTTTATCTGAATTGTAGGCTATTCCCGTTATTAAAAATAAAGAGAAAACTTTGAGTTACTATTTGTGAAAACTTTATTGTGCTCTGTAGAAATATTGAACTAATGTTAAACTATTTGAATGCTTTGGTTTCAGGGATTGGTTTAAAATTGGAGTCCTTTTTCATTGGTTAGTCTTACAAAAGTGTAAGCCGTTATGTTTTTGACTATTTAAATAAAAACGAGTGCTATTTTAAATGTACAGAATAGATTGATAGTATAGAAGAGTCTTAAGTTCTTCATAGGAACTTTAGAAAAGAGAAATATGTGCTAATTCAGGTTTTTTAATCTTCTGCACTGTGTATGTACACTTGGTAATTATGAGCTCAATTTTGTTTTTTGAAAATATGTGTTCATAATTTAGGTAATTTGCTACTTAAAGCACTAAGTCTCTGATACCTGAAAAGTAAATGTAAATGGTGATGGTAAAATAATATGCAGAGAAAAAATTATTAAAAGATAGCCCATCATACCTATGTTCAACTAGCACAAAATAAATGTTTTAATGACTGATTGGAGTTATGAAAACCATTTGACCCAAAGTGCAACTTTTTTCTCCAAACTGTTTTTCTCTTGACTGCTAATTGCTATAGCATTTCCCTAACGTTATTCTGCCCCATCCCTTCAACTCAAACTAGCAGAAATTCCTGTTTTCCCAAAGAAAAAGGCATTGTCAGGCTTTCCTCTGTCTTCCTCCTCGCCACCTAAGGAATGAAACTCTGTCAAATGTCCCCTGAGATTTTTGTTGTACCATCTAACCAAGTCCAGATGGTGTCTCAAGTTTAGTCCTCATACTTAGTAAAGTGTTTGTCATTATCTACTAAAATGAATTCTAGGCTTAATTGTGAACACTCGTTTTCCCAATAACTTATTCCATGCTTTTCTGCCTTGTTTGTGTTATGGCCTTTCTGTGCTGATGAATTTGTAAATGTGGTTTAATTACTGTTTACCAAAAAATAGCTGCCTACAGATCAGTCTCAGTGGGAGACTTCGCCAAAATGTTGAGGCAATTTGTTTCTAGTGCTAAAGCAGCTAATAAATTTGAAGCACTTTTTAAACATTGGGAAAGGCACTTAAGTTTGGTTGTGAAGAAATAGTACTTTATACATTGGAAATATAAATCATTCTTTAAGAGAATAGATTTGAATATCAAAATGGCACTTTTCCCCAAGACCAGGCAAGCAGCAATTTGCGCAAACTGTAATAATGGTGAGTTGATTGAAAACCACCCCGAAGAGATATATTCTAAAGAACTCCCCAAAAGGAAAACTTGAACTTACTTGTAAATTCCATAAAATGTTTCAGAGCTCTAGAAAGCCGGGTATTATGTATTACCGGATGTTTCTGAATTCTGGCCGCAGGCAAATTGCCAACTTAGCAACTAAATGACAGCTTTACAATTCTAATACAAACCAGCCTCTGTAACTTTGTTTTTCTTAATCTCCAAAGGAAAAAAAGGACACAGAGGGAAGTGAAAGATATTAGACTGTTCAATTTATAAATTCCATTTATTCTCCATTTGAGTTGTAGTTTAATTTCGCTTTTGCATAAAACGGTGTTTGCTTGATTCTGCCCAAAGAGGGAACTCTGGGCCGAGCGTGGTGGCTCCTGCCGGCAATCCCAGCACTTTGGAGGATGGCATGAGCCCAGGAGTCTGAGACCAGTCTGGGCAACAAAGTGAGACCCCCGTCTCTACAAAAAATTAAAAATTTAGCCAGGCATGGTGGCGCACACCTGTAATACCCGCTATTTGGGAGGCTGAGGCAGGAGGATTGCTTGAGCTCAAGAGTTTGAGGCTGCAGTGGGCCATGATTGCACCACCACATTCCAGCCTGAGTGACAGAGTCTTAAAAAATAAAAGGCTGGAGGGAACTCAAAAAGTAAGTTCCTTCCTACAGCAGTTGGCCATACTCATAAGTGTGGTGCCCCATACTCCCGTCCCTTTGGATGCCTGCATATGAGCAGGGCAGGTTCTGCCTCCAGTGCAGAAGTCAGAAAACAAAATCAATAAACTTGGCAATGAATGAGGCTTGCTGGTCGTTATCTGAACCATGAGTATTATGAAAGCAGTTTGAGCAGTGTGAGATACAAATACCACCCTGTAGAAGTTTATTTTTAGTGAGGTCACCAGACAGGCCTCACTAAATTCAATACAAGAGGTCCTAAGCTCAAGTCTTAACCACCAGATAGTTTTCAGTGTGTAAAATAGCGTCCTGAAAACCAAGCCCCCTTGTTTCTGGCAATAAGCCTCCTTTTCCAAGATTATTCCATGTTTCCACGTTGTAGTTACCTTTCTATCAATCATTTTTCTCAGTCATGCCTTCATTCATTCATTCTTTCACCAAATGCCATTTGTGGTGGGCCCTAGCAAGACGAAGCAGCCCCAGTGGAGACTCTGCCTCAGGGGTCTGACCGTGTAGCAGAAGGGAGACAGAAACAAGCCCCCAATGGCTGAAATCGCAAAGATTGACAATCGTTATTAAAATGGAGATATGCTGTCTTTCAGGTATTCTGTAATTTTTCTAAGCCTTGCTTTCAAGTTTTTTTTTTGGTTTTTTTTTTCCCCCAATAGAGGAAAAATGCAAAATACAAGTGCAGAACTTTTTTTTTTTTTTTGAGAAGGGGTTTATCTTGACCACACTTAAATCATATACCTTGGGAATTAGGAACTAATCTCATATATCACCTCCTCCAAGAAAGCTTCCCTGAGAGCACCCATGCCCCCTTTGGGTTGGGCATCTTTTCCAGGTACTCTCGCCGAATCCACTGTCTATTCTGTGGCATATCTGTCATATTGTCCCCTCACTGTCACCACCATTCCCTGCACACACAGCTAGGTGCACTTAGGGAGAAGGGGCCACGCCTTATTCTGCATCCTCAGAACCAGAAACACACTGGTAATTGAGAGCCAAATGTTGAGCCAATTTGTCTCTAGTGCAAAAGCACTATAAATGAGAAGCACTTTTTATGCATTGAGAAAATAACTTAAGTTTGGTTTTGAAGAAATGGTGCTTTCTATACTCAGGAAAATAAATCATTCTTTTTTTTTTCGAGACTGAGTCTCGCTCTGTCACCCAGGCTGGAGTGCAGTAGTACAATCTCAGCTCACTGCAAGCTCTGCCTCCTGGGTTCATGCCATTTTCCTGCCTCAGCCTCCCAAGTAGCTGGGACTACAGGTGCCTGCCACCACGCCCAGCTAATTTTTTTGTATTTTTAATAAAGACGGGGTTTCACCTTGTTAGCCAGGATGGTCTTGATCGCCTGACCTGTGATCCACCTGCCTTGGCCTCCCAAAGTGCTGGGATTACAGGCATCAGCCACTGTGCCCGGCCAAAAATAAATCATTCTTTAAGAGAGTAGCTTTAAATATCAAAGTGGCATTTTACCCCAAGGCCAATAATAATTACAGATATTTCCCCACCTAGTAAAAGTTGCCTTTATTTTCCACACCATATTAAGTTTAAAAATAGATAACAAAAAGGTGTACATTCTTGTGTTTTTAAAATGTAAATGTATGGAAATATATATTAACAGCATATTTAAGTACACATACAAAATATCTGGAAGAACACATATCAACATGCTAGCAGTTGTTATCTCTAAGGGTTAGTATTTGAACTGATGCTAATTTTTTTCTTTATGTATCACTGTTTTACTATTTTGCTATAGATATGTGCTACTGCTATGATAAGAAAATGCAAAGTTATTTGTATTTTAAAGAGAAACGTTTGGCCTATTACATAAGCCAAAATCATAAGACATAACTTTATGAAGCATCATCTTTACTATGAAATCCCAACATTGTCAGTAATTTATTCCATGCATTTAAATCACTGAACTAGCATGGTGGAGTTTGCTGGTATTAGACAGGTTTGCTTCCATTTTCCGTCTTCATGTCTGTGTTTATAATATTCAGAAGGTATCCAAGCAGCATTTTACTTGGAAATATTCTAGCAATAAAACCTGCTAAATTATTTCCCTTGGTCTCTCTCTTCCTCCTTTCCTTTACTTTTCCCTGCTAATACCTGGATTAGCTGTCAGAACCCCAGCCTTCTTAAATTTAAGCTCAACCTCTGGCAAATTGATGTCAAAATTAAGTAAGCGATTAATTCTCCCTCCCTCCCTCCTCTCTCTCCTTCCTTGCCCTCACTTCCCTCTACCTCACCCTCTCTCTGAACCTTTTGCTTTCAGGATGGCTCTGTATAAAAGAAATATTCATTTTCTGGTCAGTTATAATTCTGCTGTGCATCCTGTACTGGCCTATCTTTCTATTATTTTGTTTGGCTGACCAGTATATTGCAAAACCTAGACAGTGTTATTGGACTCGTATAGATTGTATTTGTTTGTTTTTTCTTCTTCCCAAAGGAAAAATCACAAATTATAAAATGCAGCCCTAAAGAGCAGCTCTACAAATTATATATGTTTTCTTTTCTATCTGCAGCTGAATTCTTGCCGCCAGGATGGGGAAACAGAACAGCAAGCTGCGCCCGGAGGTCATGCAGGACTTGCTGGAAAGCACAGACTTTACAGAGCATGAGATCCAGGAATGGTATAAAGGCTTCTTGAGAGACTGCCCCAGTGGACATTTGTCAATGGAAGAGTTTAAGAAAATATATGGGAACTTTTTCCCTTATGGGGATGCTTCCAAATTTGCAGAGCATGTCTTCCGCACCTTCGATGCAAATGGAGATGGGACAATAGACTTTAGAGAATTCATCATCGCCCTGAGTGTAACTTCCAGGGGGAAGCTGGAGCAGAAGCTGAAATGGGCCTTCAGCATGTACGACCTGGATGGAAATGGCTATATCAGCAAGGCAGAGATGCTAGAGATCGTGCAGGTACGTAGCCTAAGCCCTTTAAAAAAAGAAGGACATGTATCTCAAGTAAGAATTGGAAGGTGGGCAGTATAGCACAGTGCAGAGGTTGCAAACGGGTGAGTGACCAAGACACTTCATTTGGCCCACCCTGCATGTTTGAACAATTTAACCTGCATTACAGTGTGGGGAGACTGCACATAAAAATCCATCCTAGTTGGCATCTCTTGAAAAACTCAGAACCTCTGGCCACACTGGGCTCAGAATCTGGCCTGTTACAAGTCACCTGATACTTTGTGGTGACCCTTACACTACAGATGGATGTATACTTTTCGGGCCACACTCATTGTGGCCACTCTATCAACTTATTGCAATGACCTGCCTGGACCCAGATCCTTTGGGATTATATCCCCCAGACTGGGGGTTAATGATAAAACTCTGACTTGGGTTCAAATCTTGCATCTTGCAGTCACTTTGACCAAGTTAGTTCACCTACACGAGCCTTAGTATCCTCAGCTATAAAATGGAACTATCAGTTGTACTCTCCTATAACATGGGGCTATTTTAAGATTAGGTGTGACTCTCCATGCTAAATGGTTAGCACAGTGCCAGTCATATGGAAAGTTCACCATCATCATCATTATTTATTCACAACTTTACTAGAGTCTCGAATAAGAGCAGGGATCTGGGCTCCAGGCTCCATTCCATCAGAAGTACAAACACTGTAGCACTGAGGCCTAGGTCATTTTAGTAAGAGACACTCCATTTTACTCCCGAAATCACTCTCCCAGAGCCAGTTTCCTGAACATAACAGGGGGAGGGGACCTAGCGTTGGCCACATTTTCCTTGTGGGACCCCAGCAAACTTGGGGAGGTAGGCAAGCAGGGTAAGGAGCTAGAGTCATGGCAATGACAGGTGGCTCAGCAGTGGGTGGGACCCAGAGACAAACATAAGGAGACAGAGACAGGACTCAGGAGAGGACCAGGAGAGCCTCAGCTGCAAGGAACAAAAAGGACTGGGTGGGTGGGCAGCACCAGGGATGCTGGCAGTCGCTCCCTGTCTTGGCAGGCAAGTGAGGCACAATGGGAGAGCATTTGGCAGCAGACAGCAGGGCCACGGGAGCGGGCCTTTGGCTTCCTAGAGGGCCCATTTTAGAGGCCAGCCCTCATTCCAGGACATCTGGGTCCTGCAGAAGTGGAGCTACAACCCCTGAGAGAACTGTTGGGGTGCTGGATGGGTGAGGGGACGTAACACAAGGAGACAAAAAGGACTAAGCTACAGGAGAGGGTGGGATGTGGGTGCAGTGGCCTACAGCAAACCCCAGGGAATTTGGTTATGGAAATGGAGGCCTGCAAGATGAACTGTTATGGAGCCTTGAAGCTGAAGTCTAGGGCCTGCTCCCAGGACAGTAGGACTAAACCCATGTGCACAGTTAATGGGACAATTCATATTTGGGTGGGATGCAGAAGCAGGCATTCGAAATGACCCTGACTCATCGGAAGTGCTCCAGGATCTGCCAACTACTTCTCCCTTCTGGTTGGGCCACCAGTGGTTGTTCCTTCACCTAGAGCAGTAACTATCTGAACAAGTTGTGTTAAATTAATTATTCAGAGATGAAGATTTTGAAACAAACAAAAAAAGATCCCTCCCTTCCTCTGAGAATAAACTTATGAAAAATACAATGTCTGTTGCACAAACACAGGCAGTATAGAAAAACATAACAGATAAACAGAAAAACTTATTCATAATTCTACCCTACCCACAAAGAGAATCTCTACTAATAATTTTTTAATACATCTTTCCTGGCCCTATTTTCATACATCTAGAAATATCTAATTGATTTCATTATGTGGATGAAGTTTTCTGTCTTGTCATTTTCACTTAATAACAAAAGTATTTGTCAAATTTTAACAACTTTGAGTACAGATTTTAATGGCCGCATATGAGTCCTACCATATATTATAATTTGCTTAATGTTCCCCATTGTTAGGTGTTTAGGTTGTTTTCAGTTTTTATTGTTATACATAATGCTATAACTTTTAAAAATAAAACAAATCAATAATTATTGTGAGTAAAGTGTTTCTACATTCAGGATTATTCCCTGAGAACAAATTCCCAAAAGTGCAATTACTGGGCCAAAGGATATGAGACATTTCCAAGGCTCTGGATGCACTCTGAAAACTGTTTTTCCAAAGTGTGTGATGGGTGTTTCCATATCCTTGCACTTGCCTAATTTTTCTTAATCTTTGCTAATTAAATAAAAATTAGAATTACATTAAAATTTAAAAGGTGATTAAGATTGGGTGCAGTGACTCAAGCCTATAATCCTGGCACTTTGGGAGGCTGAAGCAGGTGGATCACTTGAGATCAGGAATTTGAGACCAACCTGGCCAAACCCCATCTCTACTAAAAATACAAAAATTGGCCGCGTGCAGTGGCTCACGCCTGTAATCCCAGCACTTTGGGAGGCCGAGGCGGGCGGATCACCTGAGGTCAGGACCAGCCTGACCAACATGGAGAAACCCCATCTCTACTAAAAATACAAAATTAGCCAGTGTGGTGGCGCATGCCTGTAATCCCAGCTTCTTGGGAGGCTGAGGCAGGAGAATCACTTGAACCTGGGAGGTGGAGGTTGTGGTGAGCCAAGATCAGGCCATTGCACTCCAGCCTGGTCAGCAAAAGCGAAGCTCCATCTCAAAAAAAAAAAAAAAAAAAAGGTAGCTGGGTGTCGTGGCTCACGCCTGTAGCCCCAACTACTTGAGCTACGTGGGAGGCTGAGGCAGGAGAATTGCTTGAACCCGGGAGGCAGAGTTTGCAGTGAGCTGAGACCATGACATTGCACTATAGCCTGGGTGACAGAGTGAGACTCTATCTCAAAAAAAAGAAAAAAAGTGACACATTTTAATTAGTGTTATTTGTGTTCTTTTCTTTATATCTGGGAGTGCTATGCTCCACACCTCTGTAGTGAAAGGGATGAGTACATTCTCCATTTGAAGAGAATTGCTTCATGACTGGAATCTAAGAAAAAAAAAATCTCATTAGACACTGCCGATGAAAAGAGTCAAACACTGCAAAACATTTGGAGATGTATTATTCTGAGCCAAATATGAATGACCAATGCCCTGTGACACAGCCCTCAAGAGGTCCTAAGAACATACGCCCAAGGTGATTGCGGCACAGCCTAGTTTTGTACGTTTTAGAGAGACATGAAACATCAATCAAATACATGTGAGATGTACATTGGTTCCATCTGGAAGGGTGGGGCAACGTGAATGCTGGGGACAGCCGGACTCCCAGGTCGTAGGTGCATTTAAAAATGTTCCAATTGGCAATTGGTTGTAAGAGTTATGATCAATAAAAAGGAATGTCTAGATTATGATTAGTGGTTGTGGAGACCAAGGTTTTATCATACAGATGAAAACTCTAAGTAGCAGGCTTCAGAGAGAATAGCTTGGAAATAGTTCTTATCAGATGTAAGATCTGTGTTGCTGTTAATACTGGTGGGCTTTTCCTGAATTCCAAGAGGGAGGAGGGTATAATGAGGCATGTCCAATACCCCTTCCATCATGGCCTGAGCACGTTTTTCAGGTTAACTTTAGCATGCCCTTGGCTAAGAGGAGGGTTTCATTCAGATGATTGGGGGAGCCTTAGAATTTTATTTTTTGGTTTACAGCACCATGTTAGCTCCTGCTCAACACTTTTGCCCAGTGGTCCTGGCTGCTGTTGGTCAATGGTTTTGTGATCAGTACTGATGAAGATGCAGATGCTGAGGCAGGGAGAAACCTTTAGTCCTCGTAGGCTGATGAAATCAACACTTCCTGCTAAGAACTCGGCCCTGAGCAAATAGTATAGGGAGGAAAATGGACACTGTCCCTTTTCTGTGGAATCCGATTTGGGCAAGAGACAGAGAGAATTGCAGAGAATATACAGAAGGCACGAATTGACCCCCACCCAACCTCTGTTGACTTCACTCCACCACATTTGCTAAGGAATGTAAGAAGTGATCATCAGAAGGAAGGTGCTTTGGGGCAATGTCTTTTGGAAAAATAAATAAATAAATGAAATGAAATAAATAAAACAAAAAGAAGGTGCATCAGCCTCCCAGAGGCATTTTCTTCACTCTAAAGCACCTCAGTCCATTCACAGGCCCACAGTGTTTCCAGGCTATAACTGTAAGGACACCCATTCCTTACGAAATGCTCAGATACTCATGGCTCTTAAGAAGCCTGCAGAGGAAAGCTTGAATTTCTTTAACTGTTTTCTAGAGCGCTAAGTCCTGATGATTAATATTCATGACCACAGAAAGGAAATATTGTAGCACCCTGAGGTGACTTCCAAATCATCAAAGAGATTAAATTAAACTTAGAACCATTTTCATATTAAGGGCTATGTTATTCTATTCTGCTACTTTGCAAACTGACAATTCATGTATTCTGCCACATTCTTATGCTAATCTCCCTGCTTTCAATTATTCTGGATAAATTGGAATTTACTGCAGGATCTCACAGAGCTTCCCATTCTATTTTTTTTTTCTTTTTTTCCGCTCCCTCTTTGAAAAGCCACACTCCTCAAGCCTTGTGACTGCTGCGGGAAGCTTTGTGCCTGTGTCTGGCCGTCTTTTCTTTCTTGTGACTGGTCTGCAGCACTTAGGAGAATGATCCTTTGCTTCAGAGGAGTCACTGTCAAGTTTCTGTTTTGTGCTTTTCTAAATATCTGTTAGAAAGTGATGAGTTGGGGGCAAGCTATGGACCAGGAGAACCATCAACAAATTAAGGTTCTATTTGTTAATATGAGTTAACACCTGTAACTTGATAACAAGTGTCGATACATACATTCTTAGCTGAATCCATGTCCCTCCACAACTGAGAAATTCAAGCAATTTAATGGAAAATACAAATGTATGATTGTTCACCTACACACACCAGTAACTGGTCTGGGTGAAGACTGGGGTGAAAACAAGTTTATAATTAATTAAGCTTGACAATGAATGGGGTGGAGGACTCCAACTCATGAATTTTCTAGTT